CATTGCAGTGTGCATATAAACTGTAAAACTCCCTGCATAATTATAATAAAGAAATTTGCATGCATGAAACAAGTTGAGCTATATGGCAATTGCCATACTGCTACACTTGTGAAAGTAAAATCTGTTGGGCTCTTTTTGGCATCAAGACAATTATTCTTATTGCCACATTGCCAGACAGGACACTGTATAAAAAAAAAAAAATCAACTAATTGTTTCATGTTTCCTGCTTATTAATAAATAAATTATGAGAGGAAGTTTGAAAAAAGAAATAAACTTTAACTGGATCAAAGCAGCGAAGAAGAAATCAGACTTTAGCCTGAAGATCCTCAGTGTGGATCAGTAGAATATCAGCCATATGGGCGTAGGTTTGCAGAGAGACCATAGGGACATGTCCCTACCAAAATATTGGACCGACCTACTTGTCCCTACCCATAATTAGATGTGAATAACATGTTTATAATTTACAATACATCATTGCTGCAGCAGACGCTTCTTTTCCTCTTGCAGCTTCACTGCCTTGTAGTTGCTGCCGCTCCGTCTGGCTGCCTGCCTGCTCTTTCCTGTCCCTTTAAATTAGCAGCACATATAACTGTGCTGTGCTGTTTAACTCCACTCTGATTTTCCTGCCTTAAATTCAGCCTTCTGTCTTTCTAATTGTATCCTAGTCCGTGTGTGCGCGTACTTAGGGGCACGTAATTAAAAGTAAATTAATGCTAGATAACCACACTTAATACAATTAATATTAGGTTACAAAACCAGTCCCGATTTAATAACTAAATATCATCTATAAGTTGCTGATTCCACTTCTATAAAGAAGCAACAGAGTGTTTTGATCTGTGGAACAAATTTTAGCATTTCAAAATTATAGCTAATTCTAAAGTAAAATACATTTTATCAACAAAAATCTTTGTTTTCCTTTATAAAACTAAATATTCTGAGTCAGACAGTGTTGGCATCCAGAGGCTTGCCCTCCAGAGGGTGCCGAGGATCCCTTCCTGTTTGTATGTTTTTCTGTTGGGATCTGGAGTTTCTGCCACCTGTCTCCACCACAGAGCACCTAAGGATCATCAGCTGATCAGACCAGCTACATAAGAAGCCGCCAGACCTGTCTTCAGCGCCGGAGTGTTGACCAGTTTTTGTTAGCGGAACCTGAGCCTCAGCTTGAATCTAGAATCTCTGTCTGCTCTAGAGAGCACCCTGATTCTAATCAGTCTCTGTCTTCTCTGCTCATAGGAAAACCTGATCGAAGCCTGCAGCTCTGGAGGAGCTCATGTTTGGAAACCTGCCTGCCTGCCCAGAAAAGCCAAACCTGAAGATCCTCAGTCTGTGTCTCCCAGTTAGTTCTCAGGAGACAACTAGGAGAACAACTCAAGGTCTGAACCTCGCTAGCCTGAAGCTAAGCTCTGCTGCTGCTGAGCTCTCTGCTGAATCCACAATCTCTGGACCCAACCGGTTCCCTCTCTCCACCGAACTGTCTGAACCTCATCAGGTACAAATCAGAATCAAGACTCTGTCACGACATCACAGCTACCCGGCTAACCAAACAACCCCTCTCTGCAGATTACTCTGTGAAGCCAGTCCCGGACCAGTACCAGAACCAGTGCATTCTTTATTCTGTGTGTGTTACCTAATAAACTGTTGAACTTTTATCCAGTCTCCTGTGGTGTTCTGCATCTGGGTTAAATCACAGAGACCCATCATGACAGACAGGAGTTCCGAAGACTGCTGGTAAAATGGACAAGCAGAGACTATCAACAATTCTGGTTGTTAGCCACAGCCGTCTGAAAAGGAAAATGTGATTGTTTCCCTTTTATTAATACTTCTTTGTTACTGTTGTAATTTTTGACAACCTTTTGAGTTAGATCAGGTATAAATAGCAGGT